ACTGCGGGGTTGTAATGCGTGTTAACAAGATGGCTCAAGGTCCACTCGGCTCGGCTTATTATGTTGAGTGGATTGTGCATCGAGTGGGAATGCTCATGAGTTTTATCCTCCGAGTCGATCGTACCATCATAAGGCTTCATAATTGGAAAGGTGAATTTGTGTCGCATTTCAGCTAAGGCTATGGCATCCACAAAGGGTGAGTCGGCGTAACTACAAGGTAGGTTCTAGGGTTGGTACTCCGATGATACACCTCAGCATGGCCTCTACATCAACCAATTTCTTAGCCAACACGTGCTCAAAGGGTGTGGCGGTTGACAGTAGGTTCATATTAATAGTAGGATGAGGGTTTTATAGGCCACTCATCATGCTAGGATGATTCGAGTCGAACGTTGTAGTATGAAAGGTTACTTGGGGGTTAGAGTTTCAATTTATCCCTTTAGGATGAGTCAGCCCAAGAGTGACGGTTTGGGTGTTTTGGTCTTCATTCATCCCTCCAAGATGAGTCAGCCCGAGAGTAATGGTTCTAGTGTTTTGGTCTACATTCATCGTTTCAGGATAAGTCAAGTCGATCGGTGTATTATAGAGGGTTACTTAGGGGTTAAAGTCTCCTTTCATCCCTTCAAGATGAGTCAGCCCAAGAGTGACAATTCGACTATTTTGGTATCCATTTATCCTTTCAGGATAAGTCAGCCCAAGATTGATGGTTTGAGTGTTTTGGTCTCCATTCATCCTTTTAAGATGAGTTAAGTTAGTCGGTGTGGTATAGAGGGTTACTTGGGGGGTTAGAGTCTCCATTAATCCCTTCAGGATGAGTCAGCTCGAGAGTGACAGTTCGGGTGTTTTGGTTTCCATTCATCCCTTTAAGATAAGTCAACCCAAGTAAGACAGTTCGGGTGCTTTGGTCTCTATTCATCCCTTCAGGATGAGTCAACCCGAGTGTAACAATTCGGGTGTTTCGACCGACATGGATGGTGAGTGTGGTGCTTTGATCTTCATTCATCCCTTCAGGATGAGTCAACCTGAGTGTGATAGTTCGGGTGCTTGGGCCGACATGGATGGTAAGTGGGGTGCTTTTGTCTTCATTCATCCATTTAGAATGAGTCAACCCGAGTGTGACATTTTGGGTGCTTCGGCTGGCATGGATGGTGAGTGGGGTGCTTTGGAGGCCACTTGGACCATGGGGATGAGTGGAAGCGAGTGGTGTCTGATGGGTGTTAGGGAGTCCACTCGACTCATAAGTGTGAGTCGAGCCGAGTTGAGAAGAGTGAATTGTGGAGGGAAGAAGAGCTGAGTTGGGAAGAGTTGCATTACTCTCCTTGGGGATAAGCCAAGCGAAGCGGGAAGAATGGAGCGAAGAGGAGCCGAGTGGGGAAAAGTCTCTTTTAAAGAGTAGAAGCCTTGGGGATGAGCCGAGCAGAAAGAATGAAGCAAAGTGGAGCCGAGTGGGGAACAGTTGAATGACTATTTTTTAAGACAATTGGAAGCCTTGGGGATGAACCGAGTCGAATGGGAAGAATGAAGCGAAAAGGAGTCATGGGGAAGAGTCAATGACTTTTGAAGACGAGTGGAAGCCTTGGGGATGAGCCGAGCTGAGCTAGAAGAGTGGAGGGAAAAGTCAAGTAAGGATGCTTTAGGCAAAGTAAAGATGTTCCAGGCCGAGTGAGAATACTTTAGGCCAAGTGAAGGTGTTCTAGGTTGAGTGAGAATGCTCTAGGTTGAGTGAAGGTGTTCCAGGCCGAGGGAGAATGCTCTAGGCCGAGTGAAGGTGTTCTAGGACGAGTGAGAATGCTCTAGGCCGAGTGAAGGTGTCTAAGGCCAAGTGAGAATACGTTAAGTTGAGTGAAGGTGTCTTAGGCCGAGTGAGAATGCTCTAGGTCGAGTGAAGGTGTTCCAGGCTGAGTGAGAATACTCTAGGCCTAGTGAAAGTGTTCAAGGTCGAATGAGGATGCTTTAGGCTGAGTGAAGGTGTTCCAGGCCAAGTGAGAATGCTCTAGGTCGAGTGAAGGTGTTCCAGGCCGAGTGAGAACGCTCTAAGCCGAGTGAAGGTGTTCAAGGCCGAGTGAGAATGCTCTAGACCGAGTGAAGGTGTTCCAGGCCAAGTGAGAATGCTCTAGGCCCAGTAAAGGTGTTCCAAGTCGAGTGAGCATACTCTAGGCCGAGTGAAGCTCAAGGCCAAATGAGGTTGAGTGAAACTATGAGGCTAAATGAGGCTAAGTGGAACCATGTAACCAAATGAGGTTGATTGAAACCATGAGGCCGAGTAAAGCTCAAGACCGAATGAGGTCAAGTGGAACCATGTAACTGAATGAGGCTAATTGAAACTATGAGAGTGAAGCTCAAGACCGAATGAGGCCAAACGGAACCATGAGATCGAATAAAACCCAGTGAAACCATGAGGCTGACTGGAACCATAAGGCCGAATGACATCGAGTTAGGCCATGTCCCCTACTCTCTAAGTTAAGGGGTACTTAGCTTAGAGAGTAGATTGTTTTGAATGTAGTTGTGAAACGAATGACTCATTACCCTCCAAGAGATGAGTCAAATGTGAGTGTTTGAATAAGTGAAGCAATGCCCTTCGTAGTGTTTGTCAGAGGCCCCACAGTGGGAGCCAAACTGTAGATGTAAAAAATCTATAGTTACAGAAATAGAGTCTGATCCTGTGAGATTGAGGCCACTGACAATCCGTTGGACCTGCACACACGAGGAGACAAGCGTGAAGCTTAACGGAAAACACCAAGATGGTGTTTGTCGTAGGCACTCTGACACTCAAGTCAGCAAGGCTGAAAGAGATTATTTAATAAGAATTAAGGAGAAAAAGGATTACCAGGAATCTTGTTAGAGGCCAGGACTACGGCGAAGGCATAGATTTCTCGGGAGCAAGAATTTAGGAGTAAAGAGGTGATTTTGAGTAGTCGAGATTGATTATTGGAGATTGATTGAATAATGAGAGGATAGGCCTCTGTTTTTATAGTGAACCCAAGGGATTGGAATCCTAGTAGAACACTGAGCCATATTTTGAGAGATAATCTCTATCAAGAAAGAAATAAGGTTTCTTGCCTTTATTAGATTAAGTTTACTAGTTTGAGTAAGATTCGAATCTCAGCAAAAGAGGAAATAGAATATGATTCTGATTTCCTATTTATGGACTGTTATAGGCTAATGGGTTAGAACTCAATTTAGCTTAACTTGTAAGATAACCTAACTCATAGAGTGGGTAATTTACAAGGTGACTTTAAGCGTAGGCTCAACCGAAATTGGACTAAGACGTTAGATCATGACATGTTTATTTCATTATTGGGCTTCGTCAGACTCAAGATGATTTTTTGCACATACATATATTCGATATCAACTTAATTATAAGAGTTCAATCATATAATATTTCATTGTTTAATTGGAAAAGATTTTAAAAAAATATATATTGGGGAAAGCTTTTAATGTGTCGGGTTTGGATAACATGAAAAATAATGCAGTGTTATGGTCCACTTCCAGGTCTGCATATATAATAATATTATAAAATATTGTTTAATTTTTCGTTTGACTCTCACTCATTTTGCTTGGTGGGCAAGGTTTTTTTGGTGGCCTGTTAAACCTGACACGGTGTTTTAGTTTTTTAATCGCAATGGACTTTATTATTTTAAATCGTAATACAATGTTTAACGTTCTTCTCGTTAACGTCATGTCGTTCATGTCTTTCAGAGATCAAACAACTGGCGTTTATAATTTTATTTCTCGTGATAAATATCAATTAAGTCTATCAATATTCAAGAATCATCAAAGTAGGGATTTTTTTCATACAATGCATAACTATAGAGGGTAAATAGATATTCCTTAGTAAGACAAGTCGTTTATATTCTGAATGACATGTCTTTTACTTTTAATTTTTAAACGAATCGGTGCCATATGGTAAAAAAATGAACGACATCAACATCATTTCTTTAACAAAATGACATGTCGGTCGTCCTTTGAACGACTTGTCATTTAACTTTTACAAGAAACGTTGCTGCTTGGTAAAAATGAAACAATGACATTTCTTTGTAAAAACGACATGATAATCACCTTCTAAACGACATGTCGTACTTTTGATGAATATCAGTTAACCACTCTATGTTTCTATAATATAAGAAAACTCTCGGTTGTATGATTCTTGATGCATCTAATTAACATTTATCATAAAGAATTTTAAAATTTAAGGTATGAACGACAACTCGTTTACAAAGAAAACGATGGTCATTAACGTTAGAAACAAGTTGGAATTTATAGAGAAAATAGAAAGACGACATGTCGTAAAAATCTATCCAAACCTAGGAAAATTCCACTGAAATCTGAGAAAAAAGTTGGTGGTTTTGATCAACAAATTCAGCCCAACCTGGATAAATGCCCATAAATCTTACATGACTACAAGAGGAATGGTTTCAAAGAGGTGGAGTATTTGCAAATTGCAAATGCAGAATGCAATCATAAGTTTCTTCATTAACTTCATGTGAAGAAGCTCTAAGCATGCCTTTCTCTAAGAAAGTGACTGGAATTTTCTTAAATTTTGCATTCTATGAGAGTTTCATCAGAGTGTTGACAGATCATGATGGGAACAGGTGATTTCATATTTTTTCATTATCCTATTTCTACTAGAAAAAAATTATTAATTGCATCATTACCAAGTTATTTCTTGTGCTTCAAGGCTGTAGTCTCTGACCAAGAAACTATAAAATCATAAAATACAGAAAGCAGATAAGAGCAGCAACAATTGTCTCAATACTGGTAAGATTTATTGCCCATTTGGTCAATCTAGTACGTCAGCAATGCTAACCCTGTTTTGGATATCCAATATGGATTTAGGATCCAGAAGTAACTACTGTAGTCTACTACATATATTAATGTAACATTTGTTTGTTTGCTTGTCTTCACAGTCGATTGTTATAAATACCCAAAACAATGGAATTAATCTCACGAATGTGCAAGCTATTTGATCAAATTAAAGTTCTCTCCTCCCCCTAGAAGGCTACATGGATTCACTTTCACAACCACGGCAGCTTCACATCTTTTTCCTTCCACAGATGGCTGATAAAATCATCAATCCAACCACAGATATGGCCAGAATATTTGCCAGGGAAGGGTTGAAGGCAAATATCATTTCTACACACCTCAACGCTCCTTTCGTTTCTTCGAAGATTGAGAAAGATAGACAACTTGGTCTGGAGATCAGTGTTCGCTTAATAAAATTTCCTTGTTTGAAGGCCGGGCTGCCAGAAGGATGTGAAAATCTACATTTCATTGTTTCACCAGAAATGGCTATTAATTTTAAGATAGCTCACATCCTGCTTCGACAACCTGTCGAAGAACTTCTACAAGAGTGCCACCCCAATTGCCTTGTATCAGATCGATTTTTTCCATGGGCTACAGAAGTTGCAGGCAAGCTTGGAATCCCAAGGTTAGTTTTCTGGGGAACNACTTATAAGGTGTTTTTGTTATTTTTTAAACTAATAGGGGGGTAATTGATTTTTACAGGGTACCTGGAAAGGAACCGGAACCTGCATTTTAGGTTCCGGTTCCTTGAATTGAAGAACATGCACTGTGCGGTTCCAGTTCCGATTCCTTTTTTTGGGAACCTGCACTGTGCGGTTCCGGTTCCGGTTCCGATTCCGATTCCGATTCCCCCGGAAATGTAGGGTACCCGGAACCGCTCACCCCTACAACGTATACATCAGAAGCAGCTTTGCCCTCTTTCTTTTGCAACTTCGGACAATTTTTCTTCCAATGCCCTTTCTCACGACAAAAGGCACATTGATCCCTATTGAGTTTTCCCTTTGAANCAGGTGATAACAACAATGGCAAAAACAATAACAAAAGATAAAAGGATTGCTAGCACTTCGAGGGTCTAGCACCTCCTAACATTTCCCAGATTTTCCCTATCCCTCCAGCGAGCTACTGCTCTCTTTATATATAACTGAATTCACACTTTCCGCACTCCCTTACGTGGAGATTCCCCTTAACTAATTCTAATCTGAATTCCCCTTGCTGCCCTCGTCCACTGAATTGACCAGGTGCCCTTTTTCTTCTTCTTTTTGTATACTTTGGTTATAGGAGGCATATCAATACTCCCCCCTTCGAGATCCACCTTGTCCTCAAGGTGAAAATCCCGAAACTGCAGCAATATCACGTCATAAGCCTCCCACGAAGCTTAAAACGGAGGAAGGTCCCGCCATTTAATCAAAACCTCTAGGGAACCATCAAGCAATTTGCGGGTGGACAAGACGTCTTCAGGTTGCACCTGTAGCTCTAAGTCTTCAGTTAAAAATGAGGGAAGCGGTTGAACAGGAACTGAAGAATGGAGACTTGGTTTAAGTTGGGAAACATGAAACACTGGGTGGATACGAGAAGTAGGAGGCAGTTCCAGCCGGTAAGCCACTAGGCCAATCTTTTCTAACACCTTAAAGGGGCCATAGAAACGAGGACTTAGCTTCTCATTGAGCTTCCTAGCTAAGGACCGAAACCGATATGGTTTGAGCTTCAAATAAGCGTAATCCCTTGGTTGAAACAACACCTCCTGGCTGTGTGCATCTGCAAACTGTTTCATGTGTTCTTGGGCAGCAGCCAAATTGTGCTTAAGGTCGTCCAATATGGCATTTTGGTCCCTAATCTGGTGGTTGGCATCTTCAATCAAGGAGGGGCAGTACATGAGTTTAAACAGAATGGGAGGGTCTCGCCCATACAAAGCTTTGAAGGGGATCATTTTGGTGGAGCTGTGGTAAGTAGTGTTGTACCAAAACTCAGCTCATGCTAACCATTTGGGCCACTGCCGAGGTTGGGAGCTGCAAAAACAGCAAAGGTAGGCTTCTAAACACCGGTTGACCACTTCTGTTTGCCCATCCGTTTAGGGATGATAGGCAGAGCTAAATTTAAGAGAGGTACCTGCAGATTTAAACAACTCTTGCCAAAATTGACTCATGAAGACCCTATCGCGATCCAAGACTATGGATTGTGGAAAGCCATGAAGTCTTACCACCTCACTGATAAACACAGTAGCAACGTCTTTGGCGGTATAAGGATGGGTCAACAACAAGAAATGAGAGTATTTTGTGAGACGATCGACGACCACAAAAATAGTGTCAACCCCTTTGGCTTTTGGCAAACCTCCTATAAAATCCATTAAGAGATCATCAAACACTTGGGTTGGGATAGGCAGGGGTTGTAACAACCCCGCAGGACGCAGAGAGGAGTGTTTGTTAATTTGGCAGGTAGCACAGGACTGAACAAATTTCATCACATCTCGTCGAATACCCTCCCAAAACACCACAGCAGTAATTCTCTTATAAGTTCGAAAGAAACCAGAGTGGCCCCCACTCAGACTACAATGAAACTCCTCAAGTAGTTTCGGAATGAATGATGAATGTTTAGGAAGGACTAACATGTGTTTGAACAATAAACACCCTTTGCGAAGCATGTAATGAGGACGACTGCTAGGGTTGAACAGAAGATCTTGAACAATAATTTTTAGCTTTGGATCAGCTTGTGCTTCAGCTGCTATAGCGTTGTAATCCGTGAACTGAACCGTGGTGATGGCAATGAGTGCCTGTGTGTCGTCCTACCGAGACAAGGCATCAGCCACCTGGTTAGAATTGCCCGGGAGATAATGAATGTCAAATGAGTACCCCATGAGCTTAGAGATCCATTTGTGCTAATCTGGTGTTTTAACCCTTTGGTCAGTAAGAAATTGCAAACTTCGCTGATCTGTCTTGATAATAAATTTGCGGCCAATGAGATAGTGACTCCACTTCTATACAGCAAAGACGATAGCCATAAGTTCTCGTTCATAGGCGGATTTAAGCCGCGATTGAAGAGAAAAGGCCTTATTGATGAATGCAATTGGTCTGGCAGTCTAGACTAAAACAACCCCCATTCCAGCTCCTGAGGCGTCTGTTTGAATCTCGAAGTGAAGCTCAAAATTTGGTATCGATAAAACGGGGACCGTGGTCATAGCCGTTTTGAGTGTGTCAAAGGCCTCCTGAGCTTCAGTACTCCAGCCAAACGAATTTTTCTTCAGTAATTAGGTAAGAGGTTGAGCTATGGAACTGTAGCCTTTTACAAACCGCCGATAATATCCTGTGAGTCCTAAAAACCCTCGCAGGCTTTTCACATTTTGTGGTATCGGCCAGGATATCATGGCTTCAATTTTTTGCGGGTTAGACTCCACCCCACTGGCTGATATTAAATGGCCCAAATACTCTAACTTGTGCTGAGCAAAGAGACACTTCTTTTGGTTCACCACTAGTGCATTATCTTGCAAAATCTGGAAAGTTAGGTGAAAGTGTTGCATGTGGGTATTCATGTCAATGCTATAGATGAGAATATCATCAAAGAAAACCAGAATGAACTTCCGTAAGAGTGGCCTAAATATGGTATTCACAAGGGCCTGAAAAGTCGACGGTGCATTCGTTAACCCGAAAGGCATCACCAAGAATTCATAATGGCCCTCATGGGTACGAAAGGCTGTCTTCGGAATGTCCTCTTCTTTAACCCGAATTTGATGATACCCGGACTTCAAATCTAACTTGGAGAAGACCGTCGCCCCTGCTAGCTCATCCAGAAACTCTTCAATAGATGGGATTGGAAACTTGTTGGGGATGGTAATGCTATTTAAGGCTCTAAAGTCAACACAAAATCGCCAACTCCCATCCTTTTTCCTAACTAACAACACGGGACTGGCGTAGGGGCTTGAGCTAGGCTGGATAATTCCTGCATCCATCATTTCCCCAACTAACCTTTCAATCTCATTTTTCTAAAGGTAAGGTTATTTATATGGTCTGATATTGGGTGGTTTTGAGCCTGGTTGCAGGGTAATGGCATGGTCAAGTGTCCTACGGGGAGGGAGTCTAGTGGCTTGGTCAAAGAATGGGGCAAATTCAGTCAGCACTTTTGCCACCACAGGCTCCAACTCTTGTTCATTCAGACCCTCCCTGACTTCTATTGAACTGCATTCCACCACTATCCATCCCCTTCCAACGGCAGCATCCCAAGTAATGTTTTCAGAGAAACTACCGTTTTCACCAGTGAAGGATCTCCTCTGAGTATTACCTGCGTACCTTCTCAAATGCCATCGTCAACTTGCCCCAATTAGTATAACCATCACCCAAAGTGCTTAACCAAGTTATCTCGAGGACCACATCAGCCCCACCCAATTGGAAGGGAAAGAAATCCTATTGAACCTCCATCCCCTGCATTTCTAACTTTACATCTCGGCATATCCCTTCACCCTTGATTTTGAATCCATTACCCACCATGACCCCGAAAGACTTTGTGCCATCAATCGGAATTTCCACTTTTCGCACTATCCCTTGTGAGATGAAGTTATGTGAGGCTCCACTGTCTACCAAAACCACTACCTCCTCACTCCTAATCTACCCCCGAAGCTTCAGGGTTTGATCAGACGTAATACCTACGATGGAGTTCATTGATAACGATAGAGGGTGACCTTCGGTGGAGCTTTCAGACTCGGGTTCACTGATGATTTCTCCTCTGTCAGGTTCATCGTCATCCAGCAGCAGAAGAACTTGAAGAGACCGACTTTTGCACCGGTGATTTGGCCCGAATTTCTTGTCACAGCGAAAACACAGCCCCCTTTCGCACTTATACTGTAGATCCGCTTCTGTCAGTCGCCAGAATCCCTCATTTCGGGGTGGGGTGGTTGTTCCACCCATCGTCTTCTCCTTCCTGTCCCAAACCCGGTTATTCTGTCCTATCTCTGGAGGCTTGAGTCCCACAGTTGCCCCATTTTGTCGCCCCAGATCTGAAGAAATGGAGACCCGATTATAGGTCTCGGGTTTGCCCATTTGGGTTTTAAAAAATCTAGGCTTGTGTCTATCCACGACCCAGTTTTTCTTCTCTATTTTATGGGCCTGGTCAATAATCTCAAATAGGCTGTTAGACTTACTAACTCTAAGCTCAGCCCGTAACTCCTATCTCAGACCATTTGCGAAAATTCCCATCAAAAGCTCTTCTCCAAGCTCACGCAGAGGGGTTGATAACTCTTCAAACTGTTCGCAAAACTCAGTCACCGTACCAGTTTGCCTTAACGCCACCAATGCTTCATAGGCAGATCCCTTTATACGATGGTCTGAACCTCTCTACTAGTGTTGTTTTGAAGGAACTCCAGGAAGTTATCGGTGACCTAGACTCGACCCACTGGTACCAGTTCAAGGCTCGTCCCTCCATACACACAGCCGATGCCTGAACCTTCTCCTCTTCTTCATACTTATTGACCTCAAAGTACCGATCAGCCCTGAAAGTCCATCCAAAAGGATCATCCCCGTTAAATATTGGCAGTTCCAGTTTAAGCATCTTCTTGTCCTCCTTCATGTTGTCGCTGTTGTTTTTCCGCTCAGATTCTTTGTCTGGGTCAGAGGTCTGTCCCTCCGATGATGAGAATGATTTCTCCTTACTTTGTTTTTCATCCCTTTCCTCCCTGAGATGCATTAGCTCACGCATCTCCGTTAAGTACTCCCTCACACTTCCCAGGTCAGTTTTCATCGTATCCACGCTTTCCTTTGCTGTCTTCATTTCTTTTTCTACGTTTTCCATTCTGTTCCCCATCTTAGGTTTGACCATCCCCCAAAACTTGGCTCTGATACCAAATTGATGAGAACACCAGTCAAAACACAACAGTATAGTGTAATATAAACTCAGAAACGCACTCTGTCACTGCAACCATATATATATATATATATATAATGAACAAAACTCTACAAGCAGCAGGTGATAACAACAATGGCAAAAACAATAACAAAAGATAAAAAGATTGCTAGCACTTCGAGGGTCTAGCACCTCCCAACATTTCCCAGATTTTCCCTATCCCTCCAGCTAGCTACTGCTCTCTTTATATATAACTGAATTCACACTTTCCGCACTCCCTTACATGGAGATTCCCCTTAACGAATTCTAATCTGAATTCCCCTTGCTGCCCTCGTCCACTGAATTGACCAGGTTGCCCTTTTTCATTCTTCTTTTTGTATACTTTGGTTATAGGAGGCGTATCAGCTTGGAATCCCAAGGTTTGTTTTCTGGGGAACTAGTTTTTTCGCTCTTTGCGGCTTTGATTGTATAATGTCACATGAGCCTCACAGAAACATCGCATCCGATTTACAGCCCTTCACCATTCCAGGCCTTCCAGACCAGGTAAATTTAACCAAACTGCAACTACCAAGCTTCATAAGAGAAGCATCCAAGAATGAATTAGCAAAGATTCTGGATCAAACTCTTCAAGCAGAACTAAAAAGCTATGGATTCATCATTAATAGTTGCCTTGAGCTAGAACCAGCTTATGTCGAACACTATAGGAAGGTCATGGGACGAAAGGCATGGCACATTGGTCCAATTTCGCTGTCCATCAGGCACGCCAAAGATAAAGAAGAAACAGAAGATAAAGCCTCCAGTGATAGACCAGAATGCTTAAGATGGCTAGACTCAAAGAAACCCAACTAAGTTCTTTATGTGTGTTTTGGAATTGTGTTCCGGTTTTCAGCTGCACAACTAGCTGAGATTGCGGCGGGCCTTGAAGCTTCTGACAGCACTTTCATTTGGGTTTATGCAAGTAATACTGAAGAAAATAAAGAGTGGATGCCAGAAGGGTTTGAGGATAGGATTGAAGGGAAGGGTCTCATAATAAGGGAATGCACACAACAGCTTCAAATTCTTGAACATGAAGCTGTTGGAGGATTTATGACTCACTGAATGGAGCTCAATAATGGAAGTATTGCTGGTGGGGTACCAATGGTGACGTGGCCACTCTACAGAGAGGAGTTTTTCAATGAAAAGCTGGTCACAGATGTTCTGAAAATAGGAGTCAGAGTTGGTGCCCAGGAATGGCGTAGATGGATAGATCATAGATGACAGTATATTATAAAGAAGGATGATACAGTCCAGGCAATAACTGAGTTAATGGTAGGCGAAGAAGGTGAGAAAATGAGAAGAAAGACTTGGGTGCTAGGAATGCAAGCAAGGAAAGCTGTTGAATATGGTGGATCATCTAGCTCTGATTTGAAGGCTCTGTTAGAAGATCTGAGATTGAGTTGTCCTTGAGATAAGTCACAGAACTGGATAAGTTCATCAGCATGCTACAGTACCTTCTTTTCAATAAACACTTATTGAACTGTTGTTGTCTTATGATTTTAACAATTCTCAAGTTTTTGGATGTTATTCAATCTTTCGTACACTCTCCACTATGTAATATTGCCTTGAGGGATATTTATTGTTTCCAAGAAAATGAACTCAACAACATGTTAAAAAACTAATTAAAATCATAATTAGTCAATATGTAACTTTATCTCAGACTCAGATTTATATCTAAGTCATAATTAGTAAACACACAAAAATTTGTATTTGGTTACATTAATATGGCACAAAATGTTTGTCCACAGACAGCATCCACTCCCTATTGTTCATGTTTTCCCCAGTAATTATTCTGTTGTTTGTCATTGAGATTAGGAATTGGACACAAGCAGATTTAAGAAGAAACAGCTCCTATTCAATTTAACCTTTTTCTGATTAAGTATATCAGACCTATAACTCGTCCTTAACCGTATTGGAACTACTTTGTTTTATCCTGTTTATGATCTCACCAAAAAAACTTGGCTCATTGGGGCCAAGATGGGTAGTTCATCCACAAAGTTTGCATAATCAAACATACTGTGCATAGAAATGCTTGCCAGCCAAGAAACAGGAAAAAACTTTCAGTGTTATGCTAAACACCAGTTTCTGATCATCACAAACAAAAAAGTTTAACCAATGGATCAGTGTCTGTTCATATACAGAGTAACCGACCAGTCTTTTAGATAACAATAAAAATGGTCAATGATGTAAAGGTTGCCAGTTGGCCACCCACCCCCAATGGTCAAAAGCAAAAACTTCAGTATAGATAGATCATCAATTACTTTACATATAAAATTAGAATGGACTACTAAAATAATCTAGATTCAGCATCAGATGATAATATTGTATATAGAATGAGAGAATTTCCTTGGCAACCAAGAAAAAGGAAAATACTTTTATATAACCAACAAACACAAACAATGGTTTACATGCTCTTCTCCTTCAGAAGAAACCTTGATAATAATTTTCTATTCATATTAAAAGAAAATGCCAAGGCCACCACGTAGATTACAATGACAATAATAATTTAACTCTTTTTTATGTTTAAATCATGTGCAGTAACCATATAGTAATTGATCAATTACGTAGTCTGCAAGAAATTAAAGTATAAGAATATCAGAATCATAGCAGCATATACCAGCTAATTAAAACTTTTAGCCTTTCTGTTTCTCCTCCTCAGCTCCTGCTAAAACTGCCTACTCTTTCCATTTCCCTGGAAAAAGCAGCATGGAATCAAGAGTACAGCAGCTTCACATAATGTTCTTTCCCCATCTGTCTCATGGACACCTGATCCCATCCATTGACATGGCAAGAGTATTCGCCAGTCATGGTGTTAAGGCAACCATCATTTCCACTCCTCTCAATGCTCCCATCATCTCTGAAATTACCGAAATGGATAAACAAATTGGTCTTGAAATCCATATTCGCATAATAAATTTCCCTTCAACCGAGGCAGCATTGCCAGAAGGATGCGAAAATCTGGCCTCAACAACTTCACCGCAAATGTTCAATAATTTCTTTAAGGCACTTACTCTGCTTCAACAACCACTTGAAGACATCCTGGAAGAATGCCGCCCTAATTGCCTTGTCGCGGATACAGCATTTCCTTGGGCTACAGAAGTTGCCGGCAGGTTTGGAATCCCCAGATTAATTTTTCATGGAACAAGTTATTTTGCTATTTGTGCCTTTCTCAGTATACTTCACTATGAACCCTACAAAAATACAGTTTCTGATTCTGAATACTTCACTGTGCCAGGGCTTCCAGACCATATACAGATGACAAAACTACAGCAACCAAGTTATTTCAAAGGAGTCGATGATGAACAAAAGAAGCTGACAGATTTATCAGTTCAATCAGAGGTGACAAGCTATGGAGTCCTTGTAAATAGCTTCAATGAGCTGGAGCCAGCTTACTCAGAACACTACAGGAACGTTTTCGGAAGGAAGGCATGGAACGTTGGGCCGGTTTCACTCTGCAACAAGGAAATAGAAGAAAAATCTCTTAGAGGAAAAGCAGCCTCCATTGACACATATGAGTGCTTAAAATGGCTAGATTCAAAGCAACCCAACTCGGTTCTCTACATAAGTTTCGGAAGCAAGTATCGCTTTCCCGATGCTCAGCTGCTTGAGATTGCTAAGGGTCTAGAAGCAGCTGGACAGGACCTCATTTGGGTAATCAAAAACGAAGGCAAGCAAGAACTTCTTTTAGAATTTGAGCAGAGAATAGCAAAAGACAAGAAGGGTTTAATAATAAAAGGATGGGCTCCTCAAGTACTCATTCTTGATAATGAAGCCATTGGAGGGTTTATGACTCACTGTGGATGGAACTCAATCCTGGAAAGTATCAGCAATGGGATTCCAATGATCACATGGCCACTCTATGCGGACAGTTTTATAACGAAACGGTAGTAACGCCAATTGTAAAAGCAGGGGCAAGTGTCGGTGCCCAGGAGTGGACTAGATCGATAGATGTGTTAGGGCCAAAAATCATCTTAGGCTTGAAGAGGCTTAATAACAAAATAAACATGTCACAACCCAAGGCTTCAACCTAATCCTGATTGGACCTACACTTAGAATCACCTTGCGAACTACCCACTCTATGGGTTGGGCTATCTTATAAGTTAAGCTAAACTGGGTTTCAGCCCATTAGCCTACAACAGTCTATAAATAGGAAATCAGAATCTCATTCTATTTCATTTTCTACTAAGATTCAAAATCTTACTCAAACTATTAAATTTGATTTGATAAGGTTAAGAAATCATATCTCTTTCATGATAGGGATTATCTCTCAAAATAGGACTTAGTATCCTACTAAGATTTCAAATCTTATTTATTAAACTTAATCTGATAAGGTCAAGAAATCATATCTCTTTCATAATAGAGATTATCTCCCAAAATAGGACTTAGTGTCCTACTAAGATTCCAAATCTTATTTAAACTATTAAACTTAATCTGATAAGGTCAATAAATCATATCTTTTTCATGATAGGGATGAGCTCCCAAAAAAAAGGACTCAATGTCCTACTAGGATTCCAACCCCTTGGGTTCACTATAAAAACAAAAGCTTGTCCTCTCATTAAGGGGCAATCTCCTATAGTCAATCTACACTACTCAAAACCATCTATTTGCTCCTAAAGTTCTTGCTCCCAAGAACTCGACGCCTCCGCCGTAGTCCTAGCTTCCGACAAGACTCCTGGTAATTCTTCATCTCCTTAATTCTTATCAAATATTCTCTTTCAGCCTTGCTGACTTGAGCGTCGGAGTGCATACGGCAAACACCACCCCGGTGTTTTCCGGAAGCTTCACACTTACCCTTTCATGTGCGCAGGTCTAGCGGATTGTCAGTGGCCTCAACCTCACGGGATCAGACCCTATTTTCATGACGGTAGATTTTTTGCATCTACAGTTTGGTGCCCACCGTGGGGCCCTGACAATCATCTGCCAACGATGACTTACAACATGGGAGATAAGGCAATAGCTTATGTCTCGAACCTCTCTGCACGCGCCTTTTCACTTCAATCATCAAACCACCAGGTGGTCTGCCAACGTCATCAGAGCTTTGCAATGCATTACCTGCCACAAAACCAGTCAATTTGTTCATTCAAGAAGATGCCTCAATACGCCAGCATCTCCAGGACCTCTGCTCCATTAGAAGGTAACTCAAACTCGACCAGCCTTGATCTAATCCCAATTCAACTTCACGGAGATTTGCCACCACTTTGAAACCCAAAACCCATCCATCTGTTCTCCTAAAATCGCCCTAACAGCTTCTCCAATCACACAGTAAAATCCTAAAAACATAGCAGTAATCCTCTCAAAACACCTAAAGTCATCTACTAAACACTGAGAGAAACTCCCCAAACAAAACCTACTTAAGTGACGCCACCCCACTCTCGCCTAATCTCCTTACCCCATTGTAGTCCAAAACTCCAAACTCGAACCATCGCCCCTTCCCAACCAATACATATCAACTCAAACCACTTTCACATCACAATCTCCAGCACACCTGTCACAAAAGTCCTCACGCTCCCCGTTATTTGCAAACTTTCCACTCCCCACTACAACTTAGCACCACTAAACAACACGAGTAGTCCACTCAATGATATTTGGGTTTGCACATACAATATCAACGTGCCCATTCGGATCAACCCAAAAGGGAATCACGTGCCCACTCAACTTCAATTGGTTCAGCTCCAACATAGAAAGTAACACCCCTCTCTCCACTCGGTCCAGCAAGCATGGGTGGCAGCACTTGAAGGGAAAGGTATGTGTCATTGTCTCCTTTTAACTACCACTCTATTTGGTTAAATCTTTCTCTATTCGGCCCATTATTTAAATACATGCAGCCCATTTTTCCATTTAGCTCACTCTTTATTCAGTCCATAACACATGCACATCATGCATATTAACTCTCAACTATTTGCTTAAAACATGCATGCCATACATGTCACTGCTCCAGCTTCAATCAAATGTTTTCAACTACAAAGTTGGTCACGCCGACTAGGCCATATAGCCCTCAAAGGTTTCAACTACAAGTCGATCACGCCGACTCGACTACAAGCTCCACTTGGCATACACCATCAGATCGGCCCAACCCGATTCACAGATTTACACCATTGGATCAGCCCTGCTCGATCCACGGATTTACACCTTTGGATCGGCCTTGCTCGATCCACGGATTTACACCTTCGGATTGACACTGCTCAATCCACGAATCTACACCTTCGGATCGGTCTTGCCCGATCCACGGATTTACACCTTCGGATCGACCCTGCTCGATCCATGGATTTACACCTTCGAATTGACCCTGCTCAATCCACGGATCTACACCTTCGGATCNGTTAAGGCAACCATCATTTCCACTCCTCTCAATGCTCCCATCATCTCTGAAATTACCGAAATGGATAAACAAATTGGTCTTCAAATCCACATTCGCATAATAAATTTCCCTTCAACCGAGGCAGCATTGCCAGAAGGATGCGAAAATCTGGCCTCAACAACTTCACCGCAAATGTTCAATAATTTCTTCAAGGCACTTACTCTGCTTCAACAACTACTTGAAGAGATCCTGGAAGAATGCCGCCCTAATTGCCTTGTCGCGGATACAGCATTTCCTTGGGCTACAGAAGTTGCCGGCAGGTTTGGAATCCCAAGATTAATTTTTCATGGAACAAGTTATTTTGCTATTTGTGCCTTTCTCAGTAAATTTCACCATGAACCCTACAAAAATACAGTTTCTGATTCTGAATACTTCACTGTGCCAGGGCTTCCAGACCATATACAGATGACAAAACTACAGCAACCAAGTTATTTCAAAGGAGTCGATGATGAACAAAAGAAGCTGACAGATTTATCAGTTCAATCAGAGGTGACAAGCTATGGAGTCCTTGTAAATAGCTTCAATGAGCTGGAGCCAGCTTACTCAGAACACTACAGGAACGTTTTCGGAAGGAAGGCATGGAAAGTTGGGCCGGTTTCACTCTGCAACAAGGAAATAGAAGAAAAATCTCTTAGAGGAAAAGCAGCCTCCATTGACACATATGAGTGCTTAAAATGGCTAGATTCAAAGCGACCCAACTCGGTTCTCTACATAAGTTTCGGAAGCAAGTATCGCTTTCCCGATGCTCAGCTGCTTGAGATTGCTAAGGGTCTAGAAGCAGCTGGACAGGACTTCATTTGGGTAATCAAAAACGAAGACAAGCAAGAACTTCTTGAAGAATTTGAGCAGAGAATAGCAAAAGACAAGAAGGGTTTAATAATAAAAGGATGGGCTCCTCAAGTACTCATTCTTGATAATGAAGCCATTGGAGGGTTTATGACTCACTGTGGATGGAACTCAATCCTGGAAAGTATCAGCAATGGGATTCCAATGATCACATGGCCACTCTATGCGGACAGTTTTATAACGAAACGGTAGTAACGCCAATTGTAAAAGCAGGGGCAAGTGTCGGTGCCCAGGAGTGGACTAGATCGATAGATGTGTTAGGGCCAAAAATCATCTTAGGCTTGAAGAGGCTTAATAACAAAATAAACATGTCACAACCCAAGGCTTCAACCTAATCCTGATTGGACCTACACTTAGAATCACCTTGCGAACTACCCACTCTATGGGTTGGGCTATCTTATAAGTTAAGCTAAACTGGGTTTCAGCCCATTAGCCTACAACAGTCTATAAATAGGAAATCAGAATCTCATTCTATTTCATTTTCTACTAAGATTCAAAATCTTACTCAAACTATTAAATTTGATTTGATAAGGTTAAGAAATCATATCTCTTTCATGATAGGGATTATCTCTCAAAATAGGACTTAGTATCCTACTAAGATTTCAAATCTTATTTATTAAACTTAATCTGATAAGGTCAAGAAATCATATCTCTTTCATAATAGAGATTATCTCCCAAAATAGGACTTAGTGTCCTACTAAGATTCCAAATCTTATTTAAACTATTAAACNGTGAAGAGATGAAAAGGCAGGCTACGGAGCTGAAAGAGATGGCGAGGAAAGCTGTTGAAGAAGGTGGATCGTCTTACTCTGATATAGAGGATTTCTTGGAAGAAATGAGGTCAAACTTTGGTACAAATAATCTGCAATCAAAAATTGATAATCAAGAAAAATACTGGAGTTGATGCATGTTTTTATGATGTAAAATTCTACCCTTTCCGAAGGATATGACCTATAAATTAGGGGGGAAATCTAAAGAAACATTAGACTTGAGAGAAAATTTAAGAGGCATAATAATGTAGGAAAAAAAAAAATATCATATCAAGTTATGAAAATGTTTTGTAAGTGTTGGATTAAATGCCCTAGAGCCAATCAATTATTGTAGAATTAACTCTTTGTAATAATGTTTATTAATCAATAAAATGCATTATCTATATCATGTAAACCATAATTGTATATATTGATATATGTCCTTAGAATGGTAAAACCGTGACGAGAGTATCAAATGTTTCAAATCTTGATAGTGAGAACCTTATGAGCATATATGGTGGATATTCTAGAAACATCCGTAGCCCCAGTATTATTCTGACCAAGGGCACAGATAATACGGTAAGATTATCATAGTGTTGAACGACCCTGTCGAAAGGCAATGACAGATCTCACTTGTTAAGGTTGTTTGCTGACAACCTAGTGCAACAAATTGGTGCTTGTTGTAGGCAAGTTCACTGGACTGACCCATCAGAGGATTCCGTATAGATGATAACGCTAGTGTCTATGGAACAAATCATCTAACGAATGGTGGGGTATGTGATCCTTAGACTTGAGATCACCGGAGCGTCTTATGCACCGATCGGTGTAGTTTGACAGTAGCCCAACGTAGTTCTATTCAGAGCTATCAATACGGTAGTGATTAGCTGCATCAATGAGTGTATCAAGACTATAGTGAATTGACAGAGGATTCATCACTCCTGGGTACGGTAAAAGTTATCTCACGGCGCAATTCAGTTTA